AGCTTAGCTCGTAGCTTCGCTGCTTTTAACGATCCAAAAACGCGATTTTGGACGGTTACTACAGATTTTAAAGAGAAAAGAGAAAGGGAGGGGTCAGTGAAGAGCACCGGAGTTGACCCTTTTGTCATCCAGTGTCTTCAGTAGAAAGAGACACACGAAGAAACGATAAAGCCGGTAAATAAAAACGAGGTTGATAATTTTAATTTATCATGCGATTAATTGATTTGTTGTTTATCGCGACAGGCCTAGTCACTGTCAGTAAAATGCTCATTTCTGTAAACTCAAAGCTATTTGAATTTGTTTATTACATCTCTTTTTCTTTTCTTCTTCTTCTTTCGGCTGCTCCCTTCTTCAGGGGTCGCCACAGAGAACTAAGTCGTACGAAGACTTGGCAATTGTTTTTACACCGGCTGACCTTCCTGACGCAACCACAGACCACCGAGCTACCACAGCCCTCTGTGTGGAGCAGAGAGCTGCTATAGGGCGAAGGTGTGGGTGTAGGGCCTTGCTCAAAGGCCCAGAGTGAGGTAAATGAAAGTGGAGGCAGATGTGGGTGTTTCACCTTTTCCACCCACATTTTGATGTTGTCGGTACCGGGCGTTGAACCAGCGATCTTCTGATCACAGGACCGCCTTCTCTAACCTCTGTGCCACCACCCGCTACTACATGAACCATCAAACCACATATCAAAATGTGTTTATACACATTGTACAAGTAATCTGATTACTTGTACAACAGATTCTCATTAGAACAAATAATGGATTAATTAATCAAATTCTTCTAAATAGATTACAACACCTGGTCGGTCTTTCTGGTACTGTTCTTCTGTGGTTCAACTCCTATCTCACAGATAGAACCTTTATGGTAAGTATGGATACATGCACCTCGCAGATCCATGAAGCCAACTATGGCGTCCCCCAAGGCTCTATTTTAGGCCCCCTACTTTTTAATTTGTACATGTTGCCGCTTGGTGGAGTCATCAGGAGCCATGGGATAAGTTTCCACAGTTATGCTGATGACACACAGCTATACATCTCATTATCTCATGATGACCCCCGGCCAATCACTGCACTTTTAAATTGCATTTCAGACATAAAGTCCTGGATGGCACAGAACTTTCTCCAGCTAAACCAGGACAAAACAGAAGTTTTAATCATTGGACCGGAGGTTCAAAAAGAAAATACAATTCAGAAATTACAATCTCTGTCTTTAAAACCTTCCAAAAAAGTAATAAGCCTGGGCGTTCTTTTTGACTCTGAGCTTACTTTTATTCCACATATCAAACATATAGTCAAAACAGGATTTTACCATCTAAAAAATATAGCCAGAGTCCGCCCTCTTCTCTCTTTTACTAATACTGAGACTTTGATGCACGCTTTTATATCTATCCGTTTAGACTACTGTAATGCACTGCTTTCTGGTCTCCCTAAGAAAAATTTATCCAGCCTTCAGCTTTTACAAAACTCTGCTGCTCGTGTGCTAACCAAGACCAGAAGGCAGGCTCATATTACACCTGTTTTAAAATCATTGCATTGGCTCCCTGTGCGTCTCAGGGTTGATTTTAAGATTCTTTTAATGGTTTTTAAATGTCTCAATGGTCTCGCACCATCTTATCTTGCAGAGCTGCTATTACCCTATGAACCCCCGCGGACACTAAGGTCCTCTGGCACTGGACTACTAAAAGTTCCAATAGTCAGAACTCACACTTACGGTGAGGCTTCTTTCCAGTACTATGGCCCCCGTCTGTGGAATAGTCTGCCGGAGAACCTGAGGGCCGCAGAAAATGTTGTTGTTTTTAAGAGCAGGCTCAAGACCCATCTTTTTAACTGTATTTCCTGAACTGGTTCATTTCTGTTCAGTCTATACATTTTCCATACAATTTTATTTTGTGTGTGCTGTTTGCATTTATTTTGTGGGTTTATTGTTTATAATTCTGTACAGCACTTTGAGCTGCTTTTAGTATGAAGGGTGCTTTATAAATAAAATTGATTGATTGATTGATTGATTAATTGGGTCGTGTAACCAGCAGTACTTTTCTTGCACAAACATTACAGCTGGCTAATGTAAAACATCGATACTTAGACAGTTCGTGTTTTCGCCGGTAACATTTGAGTTTGTGTTTGTTTAACAACAGATTAGAGGATGTGAAATGAAAAAAATAAAAAAAATCCTGTCCTTGCGTCTAATATTTAGGACAAAGGGGGAAGCTGAATGTTGTCTCAACATTTACAAATTAACAGACAGGAAAACGACGGGAACAAGAGGCCACGACTTTTGGAATCATCCCCAACGCTTTCGGAGGATATGAACCTTCTAGACTTCCTTCAGCCTGCATGACCTCCGTTTGGACAGCTCATAAATTTCAAGAAACGAGAAAACCTCTTGGCTCACTGGATGTACCAAAGTGACTATCCCATCCAGGATGTCAACAAACCTTGAGAGAGAAATGGAACGTCTAAACACAAACAACGCGGGGTTTAGTTGACTACCTCGGTCCCAAAGAGCCAGTAAATGCTCCAATTTCTGTTTTCTCCATTAGGACAGATTTTCCAATTTCCTTTGACTAATCTCGCACACACAACTGGTAATAAATTGCCCATTGACATGCTTTATATGAATCCAAAAGCATCAACACAGACCAATAAATTCAGCTTGATAGGAAAAATGTGACGATTACCGTGACAAACAAATTGTTCACATCTTGTTAAGTTGTTTTCAAATAGAAGAACAGAAGGGATTTTGTAGGCTTACAATTCCTAAAACCAAGTTAATTCCCCTTCGATTGATGCAAGGGAATAAAAAATGTTTTAAACATTATAGTCACATTACATGGGCTTTTGTTCAAGAAGGGGGCAGCAGCTAAGGGACCACTTAATGCACCACAGAGCTCTTAGGAATATATTAAGTTAACTTGTGGCTCAGATCTTCCTCCAAAATCAAGACATAAAAGGTTTCCTTATTGAAACTTTCTGTTTTCTCTCTATTAAGAGCTTAAAATACAAGCAAATTGTTTTCAGTGCTTCTCTATGAATGGTTGAGCCTGAGATAAAGTACTTACTTTGGCAGCAGAAAACTACAGAAACACCTATTACGGTGTCTGTTTACGTTGAGCCAAGGTTTGTTCTACTGTTAAAATTGACTGTCGCTTAATTGGCTCAAGGCAATCCAAGATAAACATTAGTGTCCACTGCCGCCCACTATCCCAAGCTATAATTGTTCATTATGTAAGAGCTAGATCAGAACGCGTCCTCCGAGACGTCCTTCTTCTGTGAGATTTATCTAAGTTTTGGCATAAAACGTGGACGCAAATCGAAAGGAAGCTGCACAAAAGTTTTCCAGTGTCAACACCTTGAAGATTCAATCTGCACATTTTCCCACAGAGAGAGAAACACAATAGTCTCTGCCTGTCCAGGGACTAAATCGCTCTAATCATCTGTTGTTTTCCACCACCTGAATACTAGAGTATGTGTTGGGGGGTATTGTGCTTAAGTCCCACAGATCAGCAGCGGCAATCTCGGCTCTTCAATTTAACTCTGCCAACTGACCCGAGCCTCATTGTTCTGCAGCATTTCCGAACCTCAGAGGAATTCCTACTGCAGGAAATACGGCTTACATGAGACGGCACTGAGCCCAGAAACCCACAGAGACCGCCTTTACCCTTAAACCTCCTGGCGCTATCTGCTTTTCCCTTTGCACACCTCCGGCAACATTCAGTCCACGCCACTCGATGCTGGGTTGATCCACGCAGGGGTCAAACCTTCTGACCTCTAGACACAGTTTTCTGTTTCATAACTGGTTCTTTTTTAAGGGGGAAGTAAGTGTGGGATTCCTCAAGCAGATGAAAGTCTTCATTAAGACCCACTCTTCACAGCAGGACAACGCTTTGATCATCTGTCTACAGAGCTCCCAAGACGAAGATAAGAGCAACTCTGAGTCCCACTGTCTAACTTTCTTATCAAGATCGTCATCCAGCCCTATCATCATTTGTTGCTAGATCTGATCTGTTGCTTCCATCCACTGTTCCTGACCAGAACAGAGGGGGTCTTAAAAGTATCAATCACCTCTGACATTAATCCCATTCCCAGCCTGCAGGGGACATAAAGGAACTCGATCCCTCATTCTCCACCAAGCTCCATCCTTCCTAAATATTCCCCTCTACTGGAAACATCTGGATGGTGGTGGCAGAGGGTCGTTTGGGGAAATAACACTCTGAGGGAACACAATGTCTCGTCAAACTTCCTTCCCTACAAAATTACGAAGCAAAAAAAAAAAAAATTGTACACCAATTGTTCACATGCACTCTGCTTCAAACCATTTCACTCTTGCCTCCCTTTGAAGTTCGGTGGTATTTTCTGTAAGGCCGTTAAAATGACATGCGCCCCACTCCTCCTGTGATGCAACATCCAGGTGTTTCCCTGCTGGGGACTCAATGCCAAGATCTGGCGGTTTTCATCCGAGCCCACCTGTCTTTTGGCAGAGCATGTGGATTAGACGAGATGAGAAATGCAACAACTCTTTGTGGCGTAATTATGGGATGCGGTTGCAATGCTGAACAAGATTGGACTGGAGGGACAGATTTACACTGCAGGTGTCTTCATGGATGAATTTGAGCTCAATATCGCAATCGTTTCAGCCTTTTTAGTCTAACATTCAGCATTAAAGGATGTATATTACTGTTTATTATAAGGGTTGAGTTTATGGGTGTGATGTCCCACACAAGCATCCCAAGGGAGCAGGCTGTGGAGTGGATCAACCGCCTCTTTGAGACTGTTATTCCAATTTCACACTTGCAAACTATAAAAGGTTAAGATCTTCATCAGCAGAATAGATCCTCAGCCTTAAATAGTGATGGAGATCCTGCTCACAAGTCAACAACATGCAGCAGGATGACACTTTTTTTTTTTTTTAGTCTGCAGGCTGCTGCAACATGCATATAAAATAAAGCAAGCTGGCTGGTTTTATTTACTTATATCAGGTGTAGGAGGTATCTGAACACTCACCGACAGGAACTCCAGCGTCCCAACATAATCCCGTTCAGTTTTCAGAAGTTCATTCAAGACACAAACTCGCAGCCGGAGTTGTTTCTCCAAGTCCTTCCCGCTCTCAGCCCTGTGTTCACTCCTGCTCTCCTCGGTCATGGTGAGCTCATAAATAAATGTTGTCGTTTTTAAAAAGGATAAAGTTGTCTCCTTCAGCGGCTTTTAGTTTCACATCACAAACGGGCTTCGGAGAGTGCGCAGCAAACTAGCAGGAGCAACCGGTGTCTGCGCTTAAAGTCCACGAAAAGTCGAGAGAAGAAGCAAAACGGGGGTAAATTTTTAAAAGTTTCAAAGCTGTGAAGAACTATTTCCCCTCTGACTAAAGTTAAAGTTGAGTCCACGTGACTCCAGAACCCTTCATCCTACTCCTGCGTCCCAACAAGTCCGAAAGAGGACCAGAGTTAAGCTAGCTTTAAAAACAGGCGCTAACTTCCGGGTACTCTTTTCAAAGTAAAAGCAAAAACCGGAAGTTTGGAGAAACGTTTCCTTCAAAGTCAATTTTAAAGAGCTGGTTTCACAGCTGACACTGACAAGAGTAAAAAAAAAAAAGGCACAGGTTTATAATCGAGGACTGTGTTCCACTGTGCATGCTAGTTTTTACAAAAACATTTAGGAGCTGAACTTGCCTTTTTTTTTTTTTTGTCTTTCGGTTGCTCCCTTCTTCAGGGGTCGTCACAGCGAACTATCTCTCGAACACTTGGCAGTTATTTTTACACCGGATGCCCTTCCTGACACAACCACAGACCACCGAGTTACCACAGCCCTCTGTGTGGAGCAGCTGCCCAGGGGAGCAAATGGTTAGGGCCTTGCTCAAGGGCCCAGAGTGGGGCCTTTCCCACCCACATTTTCATGTTGTCTGTACGGGGAGTCAAACCAGTGACCTTCTGATCACAGGCCCACCTTCTCTAACCTCTAAGCCACCACTCCCCAAGAGCTAAATTTCCTCTGAGTGGATTAATCTCTTTAAAGCCAGCTGATTTAAAAAAGGTCCATTGCAGTGCAAACTGATGAAAAGTTATAAGAAAAAAGGTTTATCTTTGTCTTTTTTTTTTAAACTATGTTTTTACTGAAGTACCATGTTCTTAATGGTTTCCAAACTTTCAGACTCTAGACCAGGGGTCTGCAAAGTGTGGCTCTGGGGACACATGTGGCTCTTTAGTCCCTCATCGGTGGCTCTTTGAAGCTTTCACCAAGACTTATTGAAATATGCAGAAAATGTCCTGATGCATGCTCAATAATCCAGGTAGAAAAATGTAAAAAAGTTAAATCTGGTCCTCTGGACATTCAAAAAAAGCAAAACAAAACAATGAAGAAAATTGTTGGAAGTAGTAAATTTCTTTCAGCTGCTCCCTTCATTGAGGGTCACCGCTCACATGAAAGATTTGGCAATTTGTTTTACACTGGATATCCTTCCTGATGCAACCTGAGTTTGAACCAGCAACCTCAGGATTACAGGACTGGAGCACTGGCTACTGAGCTACTGCAGCCCCACCCAAGACATTTATTATTCCTCACATAGGCCGTCAAAGATAAGAGTTATAGAAAGTGCATCATGTGGCTGCTGATCCGTTTCATGTTGCTGCTGATCTGTTTCATGTTGCTGCTGATCTGTTTCATATTGCTGCTGATCTGTTTCATGTTGCTGTATTCACTCGAGCTCATCTGCTCACACAGACTCATGTTCGTGCTGCTGCTCGGCGTATTGTTTTTATGCTATTAGTGCTTAGCGTATTTTTTACTTGATATTTTTCTTAGTTCATATCTTAGATCTTATCACTGTTTTTCTTTAACATTTTATTGGTGGATGTAACTGAGACCCTGTGTACATAATTTCGCTCCACCACATGTACCACATGTGGGGCGAATGACAAATAAAGAAACTCTGACAAATACACGTTAGTCATTAAATAAACAGTGATGTAATGCATGATAAGGTAATTATGCATATTAATTAGTGACACATTGGACGTTTTTTGTGTGTAATATTTGCATAAACGAACCCTAATAGGCCACAATATGCTTTGTTTGTTCTATATTGGATGGCTGCCCTAATATAAATTATTTTAGTTTATAAAGTCTTATTTTATCAAATATTTAAATTCATGTCATCATTTTGGATGAGCAGATCAAACTGAGCTTTTCTGAAATTGGGCTTGAACAGTTGAGTCATTTTTTTTATTTCTAGATTGAATGAATGCAAAAAATAAACTGTGTTGACAAAATTGGAAATATATCAAATTCCTGTTCTGTCGAAGAAGCACTTTTAAAAATCTTTTTTTTTTTTTTTATGCCATCGCTTTTGTGCTCCTGTTTCTAACGTTTGAAAAGCAGCTGTAAAAACCTTTGGCTTGACGTCCGCTGTGTTTTCAGAATAACTAACATTCGAATGCACGTTCGTCAGCGAACAGTAACCATAAAACTGAGCAGTGTGTGAATTATTGAACACTTTCTTCTTTTAACACACTAACGGGGCTGCAAATGTCATGTCAAACAAAAGGAGGGATGATAAAATGATATGTTCTTTCATAAAACTGCTTGATTTGATCAGCTTGACATCGTTCAAACATTCACTTCATGCATAAAAGTTCTCTCAAATGTTACAAATTCATGATTTTCCCTGAAGTTTGAGGCAGAATTATCTTTCAGGATGAAAGAAGAAGCGACTGTACGATCAGAATCTTGACGAGGATTTTCTATGAACTTTAAGACTGTGAAGTTAGTAGAAATAAGCCTGGACTTGTTTGATTTAAGCCAATTTTTCCACATTTATTTCCTAACATGGAACACACATTAGTTTACAGGTAAAACAGAGAACATTAGAAGGGAAAGCAATCTGCAAAATCTCACATTTTTTTATATTTTCATCATTTTATGATTTTTTTTGTTCTTATTCCTGCTCCTCATTTTCTCCCATTAGATTTAGTTTTTAGTTTGCATACTCCCTTATTCATTTATTCCATTACTGGATAATTGTTTTAGTCTCACTCCGCTTCTCTGCCTTTGTGTCCTCAGTTGGGATTATTTTCAGGTGCACGTCATGAGAATATTGCTGCCAGAGTTTTTTGTAATAAAAAATATATATGTAAGCTTAATCAAAAGTTATTCGATCTTTCTGAAAGTCTGTCAAAAATGGGATTTTGCTTCTGCATCCATTCTCAGTCGACTACCTGACGATGTCCAGAGAAATATCTATTTACCGTAAATTACGGTCTATAAGCCGCTACTTTTTTCACACGCTTTGACCACTGCAACTTGTACAACGCTGCGGCTAATTTATGGATTTATGGTTTTGACATGCTAACGAGCTTCATGCCACCAAAACATTTAGCCTCATCACATCCGGGCACTCACACAGCTGCCCAATACATGTCTCTCTTGGGGGGTGGGTCCTCATGACTCAATGAGACTCAACACGTGTCTCATCTTGTCCCTTAACTGTTTTAGATTAGAATGTTTAGATTAGGTTAGATGTCTTTTTGCATTTATTATAGGTCTGTTTGTATTAATGTACTGTTGTGTGTCTGCACTGTGTATTGTTTTGTACGTCATGTTCTGTGTTGCACCGTGATCCTGAAGGAACGTTCTTTCATTTCAGTACTTGTATGTAGCTGAAATAAAAATAAAACCTCTGACTCAGACTATCTGCACAAAAAAAGGTTAAAAAAAACTGACCGTTGAATTTACCGAACAGGTCACAGTGAAACTTGGTTTTGTTGTGCACAGGGAGCTTAAGTCGTGGAAAAAAGGGTATTTCACTCTTATCAGTCCTCTCATCCGTGTGAAACCCTGACCAGCTCTAACTCACTGACATGGGACCGTTAACATCACGCATCACAAACATGAGCAAAAGGACGTTGCAGAACGTTCCCACAGGAGTTATTGATCATGATGGGTGCAAATGATGCGCTGACACACAGGGGAGCAGGGAGTTTACTGCAGCTCCTCAGACTGACGAAGTCTTTTGGAGTCATGATGAAATGTCTCAACAAGAAGAATCCGTCCAGAGGACCTCACTTAACTTTGTTAGACTTCCTGTTAGGCTACTGTATTTATTTATTTTAACAAGCTATGTTACAGGCAGTAAAAAAAAAAACACTTACTGTACGTATTTGTGTACGTTACCAGTACGTATTTAATTAAAAGTTTTAAAAAATCTTTCTGTGTAAATATCTTGCTACAACATGGAAACCCGCGGCTTATACACAAGTGTGACCTATATACTAAAAAAAACCTTTTAAATTTAGTGGGCGTGGCTTATGATCAGGTGAGCTCAATAGTCCAAACATTAAGGTAAATATGTCTCGTCCATTGTTGCAGACCGTATTAAATCTGAATGTTTTAGTTTCCCATCATTTGGTGCTGATGAGGAGCAGACATGGCATTTTTTTTGTTTTTCATCTATTTGCGTTTCATCTTTCTCAAAGGCTAGCTGCGTGGAAACACAAAGATAACACAGTTTAACACAAATTTTAGCTTCAATAAGTTGATTCCTATAAGGAGCGATAAACTTAAAACGTGGTAATGAATCAGATGAAGGGTTAAGCATCTTTTTCTTTCCATGCGTCCATTTTTAGGCATAAACTGCACAATGTGTCGTCACCGTGAGGTTGTCGACTGGATAGAAACTGAAGAAGTTCTTTGAAAGTCAAGGAGAACCACTCAAAACCACTTTCAATACAGACTGGCACCAACATCTACTCTACCTGGTTGCTGTTTTCATGTCATGACAACCAGACTGATCACAAACAGTCCTCCGGGTTTCAGCTCTCAGCTTTGTGACAGAAGAAATAAATCAGAGTGAGGGAATGATTTGCTCAGTGTGAGACCTGAAGTCTCTGTTCTCTCACACTGATGTCTCAGCAGACTGGCCCTTTGCTTCAGTTTCCTCGCAGAATCAAAAAACCTTATTATCAGAGGAAGTGAGGCACAGGGAAAATGTGTTTACAGGCATGCTGGGATTCGTCTTTGGCTCTTAAGGAGGCATGGAAGAAACATTTGTGCTTCCTTTTGCAATATAACTTACAAGAGAAAGTGTTTGAAAGCTCATATGTAAATGATGCACAAGTAATGCTATCATTAGTATCTGCCAACAAATATGAGCGCGACAATCATCCTGAATGTGTATGACTGTCTGTTAGCAAAATATCACACAAACTATTGCAAACAGGCAATGAATTGTAATTGCCTCCTGTCTAAATCCATGGT